CAAGATGGCCAAGAGTTGGTGGAAGCTACACTCACCTACTCCCAGCACCAAACAGATTTACAACTAAATTCTAGATCAATCAACCTGAATAACCAACTAAAGCCTAGCTGAACAGAAGTATCTAACCGAGGATCTACAGAAGCTACATAGAGATGGAATAATATTGAACATAAACTGTAATTAAAAAATAAAAAGAATAAAAAATAAATAAAAAGAACAATGGCAGGCACTTTTATATATATAAACTAAATGTCATTCCTTTAGACAGATCTGGCCCCAAAACCTCTCTTTCATCTGTCTGTCTCCCTCCAGGGTTAGTAAAGGCGACAAGGCATTGGTACAAGTAGGGTAACAAAAGAGTTAGCCCCAGGGCAAGAAGCCACTCACCCATAGTCTAAAAAGAAAAAATTTGGTTCTTAACACTTGTGCCAACACCAAAGTGGCAACTATATCACTAATCTCCCTGCCCACCACCCTCATACAGAGAACAGTGAAGTCTCCCCAAGTCTGTTGACTCATCCATACAATGGGGTAAAGAGTAATGCCTCTCTTGAAGGCAGGCATATTAAATGAGATAGTAGATGCACACAATCATTGTCTTTCCGAAAAATAAAAATAAACACAATCCCAAGTCCTCAAATCTCACTGCACCAAGGGACTCATGGTCAGACCAGCGATGGAGAGGAGTCACGCACACACAGGTGCCCATGAGAATGGCCCAACCTGGACTCAGGGAAAATGTTCTGAGAACCCAGCGGGGGAAGACATCCGATGCGGAAACTGAGGGGGTGGGGCTGGAGATGCCATACAGAGCTGGATTTACTCTCATCCCCATGTTCACGACTCATTGCTCCCCCGGTGTCGGGGAAGCAGGAGCGCAGGCGCTCACGCTGTGCCTTGTCTGCGGAGGGAGGGACACAAAAAGGACTTTCTGGATACTGGCACAGAGTCCCGTCACATCCGTCTCAGCACACCCAGGAAACGCCGAGAGAGGGCCCAGGTGCGATTTGAGCCACTGAGGAGCCAAGGTCCCACGCCAAGCGGGCTCCCCGGCCCGAGGCAGGAAAGCAGCTGCGTGCGCAGCCCACTCCCGCGCAAAACACTCGCGCCTTCAGGCCGCACCACGAGATGAACAGGCACAGGGAAAGAACCCCATATTTTCCTAACAGCCATTATTTTCTGAAACAAACCTTTCCTTTGTTTTCATTTTGTTTTATTTAGTTGGGATTATCTTGAGTCAAATAGGCGCCCTGGGCCAAGCAGGACCTGGACTTCCCTACCCTCATCTTTCCTTCGCACCCCTCCCTCTCATGTGAGTTTCCCCGCCCGCCTCACTTGTTTCAGCCAACCCTTGCGAAGCGTTTGCGTTACGTCACGAGTTTCCAGGCAGATTAGGAAACTCCCCGGAACCGGCGCGTGCTCGCGCGCCCCGCCTGGTGGTGCCTACCAGCAAGACCAACGGTTCTGGCGCGTGGCGGGACCGGAGAAGGCCGCGTGCGAGGCGCGCGACGAGCGGGCGACTCGTCCGAGTGACCCGAGGAGTGACGGGAGCAGGAGGAGCGGCCCTCAGTGAGAATTTAGCTTGTGTTTTGTTTGTTTGGGTCGATGCCGGTGTCTCCTCCCAGATTTCTTGTGGCGTCTGGAGAGAGCGGCCGCATGGCGAGCTTCGCCTCCCACACGAGCGGGCTAGGAACCCCAAGGAGCATCCGTTGTCTTTTTTCCGCACATTAAAAAAAAATGTTTCAAATACCAGCTCCCTTCCAAAGCCTTCACGGCCTGCGGGGCAGAGTGTGGGCCACGTTTGTGGGCCAGAGAGGAACCTCCGTGGGAGCAGGGCCTGGCTTCGGGCCTGGCCGGCGTTTGCACACCTCCCAGCTCCTCCTCCCTGCTGAGCCCCTGCGGCCGTTCTGGGTGCTTGGGGTCCACCAGCGGGAAGCACAGGCCCTGCCCTCACGGGCCTGCAGTCCAGGGAGCGAGGGACCCCTAACAACAGGGAAATCCAGAGGTTTCAAGGGTTTTCCTTTAGGCATGCTGCTGTCGTTCTCTTTAAGAAACTTAATCCAAAATGTCATGTTTTAGTACCCGATCATAACATGCCACGTGGAAATAAGGATGAACTATTAGAGCTGTGGGGATATTGGGGGTGGGGAACACGTGGAAATAACACGGAACAAAGTAGGGGTTAGTATATCAGTATGAAAACAAAAAGGACCCCTCCCCATTTCCTTTTAGCTATTTAACCACAAGGGAAAACGGACTGGCTTGGCTTATAGTGGTCGGAGATGGTAAATCTTTTGTTTTTTTTAGCTAAGGCTCTAGGAGCAGAACATTGGCTTTGAAACTAATTCACAACAAGTTTGGGCTTTGCAGAGAAAGGGAACACCAGCAAGCTAAGGAGAGATGAATAACATAGAAGGAGCGCTATTCGGAATTGTTCGTGACACTGTGGCCCCATCAAAGCACAACAATATGATATGGACTCATCGAATATATAGAAGCAGTAAAGTACTAAGAACATTGCCCCGTGGTTCAGATGCCTGGGTTTGAATTCTGGCTTAACCTTTTAATTAGTTGTGTGATTTGGGATAAGTTATTTTACCTCTCTTAGTCTCCATTTCATCTGTAAAAGTGGGGATAATTAAAGTAAAACTCTCAGTCCCGTGCCTGGAACATAGTATATGTTTACTAAATGTTGGAAATTATTAGACAAGATGTGGTTGAAAAAGTGTCTATAGATCTGTAGTGACTGCTTAGCTTGGAGTAGGTGTTTTGAAGAGAGCACTTTATGTCAAGGATTTCAAATGTTAATTGGGATTCTAATACTGTCAACAAAAAAATAAATTAATTTTAATAAAGTTCATTGAGATTCTACAATGTATGAGTTACTGTGACTGACATTAAAAAGTTATACAACTAGCCCTGGCCGGTTTGGCTCAGCGGTGAGAGCGTTGGCCTGCGGTCCAGAGAGACCCGGGTTCCGTTCCCGCTAAGGGCGTGTACCTCGGTTGCAGTTTGTCCCTGGCAGTGGGTGGCAGCCACTCGATGTGTCCCTTTTACATCAATGTTTATCTCTTTTTCTCTTCCTCTCTCTCTCTCCCTCCTGCTCTATCTGAACAAAAAAATGGAAAAATGTCCTCAGGTGAGGATAAAAAAAAAATATATATATATATATATATATACAGCTAAATAGTGCTATGCATGCCCTTGAAACAGTAGGAAGGCCATTTCCCTATGTCTTTCACATGCCACTTTCAAAATAGTATTAGATATGAACAACTGATATTTTCTAAATCTTATGTAAAATGTGAAAAATACTTAAAACACTGCTATTTTTATTAATCTGTAATGTACACTTTTATTTTTTTTATTGATTTTAGAGAGAGAGGGAAGGAGAGAGGGAAACACTGATAGGCTGCCTCCTGCATGCCCCTACTGTGGGTCGAGCCCATGTGCCCTGACCAGGAATGGAATTGAACTGGTGACCTCTTGATGCATGGGACATCACTCAACCAACTGAAAGCCACATCAGGCAGGGCTATAAATATACTTTTAAGTAAAACCAGTATGTTTAGTATGCAAACACAGCTTCTAACCTTCGTTTCTAATGAGACTCAGACCCCCTAAACATCTTCTATACAGAATTTTTAATATCTATAGCTTCAGAAATCATGCTTGGCATAAAAGTGAGGTACAGATAATGTAAATAAGTGAGGGGTTGTGAAGAGACCTTTCTTAGAAGAAATTAGCTTGAATGAGGTTTTGAAAGAAAAACTTGGTGTGGACTAGTAGAGAAAAGAGAAGTGGACACTTTTAAAATTTTTAAAAAATTTACTGATTTTAGAGAGAGGAAGGGAGAGAGAGAGAGAAACATAAATTTGTTATTCCACTTATTTATACACTCATTGATTCTTGGTTGATTCTTATATGAACCCTGACCAGGTATTGAACCCACAATCTTGGTGCATCGGAACAAGCTCCAACCAGCTGAGCTACCCAGCCAGGGCAAGAAGTAGACACATCAGATTTAACTCAGCCAAAGTAGTAATCCAAAGGTTGCATGGTGAACATGGAGGCAGATCAGAAAAAGATGGATTATTTTGAGGGATATTTTATAGAGATCATAAAGAGAGAGGCCTGATGAAACATTTCTCCCTATGTCAGAGGCTGGGACTTTAGTAACCACATTTATAGATTCAGGGTCACTGTCCACAGAACAGTGCTAGATAAATACTACCTAATTTCATCCTTCCTACACCTCATTTCCATGCTAACAGCCTTCTTCTGTTGACTCAAATAGAGGCAAACTTGTAAACAGACAAGTACAGGACTTCCATTTAATGTAACATCTCCTATTATTTTCCTGCATATTTTGCTATATCCATAAACCAAACCAAAACAAATAGAAGCAAGATGTCCTTTTAGTATCACCCACATCTCCTCCAAACTGTGAAGTTTCAGGAAAGGAGCTGGCTTTAAAAAATATCAAAGAGTCCAGCCAGTGTGGCTCAGTGGTTGAACATCAACCCATGTACCAAGGGGTTGCCGGTTCGATACCTGGTCAGGACACATGCCCAGGTTGTGGGCCCAATCCCCAGTGGGGAGCATGCAGGAGGCGGCGAATCGATGTTCCCTCTTGTCGATGTTTCTATCTCTCTCTCCTCTCTCTCTAAAATTAATAAAGGAAAAAAAAAAAAAAACCCCAAAGAGCCCAGGCTGGTTTTGCTCAGTGGTTAGAGCGTCAGCTGGCAGACAGAAGAGTTGAGGGTTCGATTCCCGGTCAAGGGCATGTGCCTCAGTTGAAGGTTCGATCCCTGGCCCCCATTGGGGTTGTGTGGGAGGCAACCCAATCAATGTGTCTCCCTCACATCAATGTTTCTCTCTCTTTCTCCCTCCCCCCATCTATCTATATCAAAGAAAGAATTTTCTGTATCCCTTTTTATTTTTGTCACCTCCAGCATTGCTCTTTTCTTTCTCTCCAGCTGTTGGCCTTTCTCATAAGGATGGAAATGCTACTGTTTGGTGTCTGGGCCCTGCTGGCTTTGATCTCTTCCTCAGGTGAGGCTATTTGGAGAAGTTTCTTTAGCCAGTATGTGCTGGTCAATAGGAAGAGGACAGGAAATCCTGAATGGGGCAACACTCTAGTATTCATGCATCTAGGCCCTTGGGAGAGATTCCTATTCCTTGGATCACTAGGATGCAGAATCCAGGTATCTCTGGCTGTATTGGGATAACCCATAGTTAGGCACCGAGTAATAGACCATCAGTGAGAACTCTCCCTGCTGCCCCAGAGCTGTCCTATTGTTCTGCTCTTGAAAATATTGTTACTTCTTTGTCACCACCCTTTGTGTCATGAAGAGCCTTTGATAGGACAGGGCCCATTGCTCAGTTGTGAGGAGAAAGGAACTGGATGGAGCCTTAGTGGGTAACATTGCTATACGAATGTCTGTTCCCAGAGGGGACTGGCATTTGGGAGATAAAATAGATGGCGGGCTTGGAGTAGCTAATGGGGACTTTAGGGAAGCTTTTGTGAGACTGTACTCCTCACCTGCACCAGGCATCTAAAATTTACCTGAGAGAGATGTCTCTCTCACTGCAACTGACATTTCCCTAACAGACTAAACTCTAAGCATTAAAAAAAAAAAAAAAAATCTGTTGCTTTCGCACCAGAACAAAATGGAACAGTTGCACTTTGAGAAGAGATGAAAAGTTCCATGGAAAATGAGTGACCCCGGGAGTCCCCTTTAGACTAGTGGTTCTCATAATTTAGTGTGCATAGGGGTCACCAGGAGTGCTTGTTTTGTTCACTTGCATGTTTCCAAGTCCCACCTTCAGGTCTTAATCATTCAGTCTGAGGTGGAGCTAGAATTTGCAGTTTTACAAGCATTCCAGGTGATTCTGGTGAAGATAATTCTTAGGCCATATTTGAGAGAACACTGCTTTGCAATATAAATAACAAAGCTCTTTATTTAGGAGTCTAATAACCCCACAAGGGTCCTCAGCAGCCAGTCCTGGGAGCTTCCAAGATTTCTGGAAGTTTAGGAAGAGAATGGTTTCCTGGGCATAATTTTTAGCAACTTTATAATTTCCACAGTGATACTAGTGGGGAAATCAGATCCCAAGAAAGATGATGAATGGAGGGAATAGTGTGGAATCAGCGTCGTAACTTGTTCATTAAGGATCTTTTTGTTTTCTGGTCCCTGTACCTGTTCATTCAGGGTAGGTTTCCTATTCTCTATAACTAGATAAGTAGGCTCTGTATTTTGTGGGGGCCTTGTGGTCCTCACCAGAGACTTTGGCATAATATGGTTGATCATTTCAGGGGCCACTGAAGGGCTATTTGAGGTGTCTGTTTGGCCAGATCAGGCCCTGGTGAAGTTTGGACAGTCCCTTATGGTCAACTGCAGCACTACCTGTCCAGACCCAGGACCCAGTGGAATTGATACCTTCTTAAAGAAAACCCAGGTGGGCAAAGGGCCTCAGTGGAAGGAGTTTCTCCTGGAGGATGTCACCGAGGATTCCATTCTGCAGTGCTTCTTCTCTTGCTCAGGGATCCAAAAGGACACAAGCCTGGGCATCGTCGTGTATCGTGAGTGGGGCTGAGGGCTGGGGAGGAAGAGAAGAATGGGGAAACAGGGCTGTGCCTACTTTAGGGAAATATTACACAGATTTCTTTTAGGGGAGAGAGTTAGGGCCCTTAATAAAGATTTCCATTATACTGTAGGAATTGTAGGGCCAATTACTTCTATTTCCCTTTGGCATCTGTGTTTGAGAATACATTCAAATACAGGAGGCATATGCTAACAATGCTCACTTACAAAAGATCAATAAAATATAAAATGAGTGCTGAATTATTTGCCATAAATTTTTAGAATAAAAGGAGGGTCTCAGTGGGCTGGGTAGTTGGAGAAGCCTTCATGGGAGAGGAGGCTCCTAAGCTTCACTCCTGCAGAATGGCTAGGGTTGGAAGTGATGGGAGTGGTGAGGAGGGTCTTTCGGGTGTGCAGATAGCATTGGCAAATACATGGCGATCGCTGTGGGGTAAGAGTGTGGTTAACTCAGGTATAGTTTTTGTGTGATGCTAAGGAGCTCCTTAGAAGCTGCTCACACCTCTGAAGCACTCTGGCAAAAGATCAAAGCTCTCCAGAACGGCAGAAATCATCGAAGCAAGACACCTCTTCTCAGCAGTCAAATTTCTTGGTTATGGCTTTAGCCATCTTTGATGGGCAAAAGAAGAGTCAGAGGCTAACCTGTCCCATCAGACATTGTTGATCAGCTGGTTTAAGGACAGCAGTCACCTTCTATCAGCCTGACTGTCCTATATCATTTCTTTCTGGATAGGTGAGTAGCCTTCTCTCATCAAACCCACATTTTTGTCTTAAAGAACCACCGGAGCAGGTGATCCTGGAGCTGTTGCCTATGTGGGTGGCCTTGGACGAAGTCTTCACAGTGAAATGCCATGTACCCAGGGTAGCACCCCTGGAGAACCTCACCCTTACGCTTCTCCAGGGTAACCAAGAACTGCATAGAAAGAACTTTATGAGCGTGGCTGTGGCCTCCCAGAGAGCTGAGGTCACCATCAGTGTCAGAGCACAAAGGGAAGATCACAGGTGCAATTTCTCCTGCCATGCAGAACTGGACCTGAGTTCACATGGCGGCGGGCTGTTTCAGTCCAGCTCAGCCAGCAAGGTTCTCCAGATTTTTGGTGAGTTGGAACTCAGGTGTAGAAAGAATCCTGAGGCCCATTGTCCTCATCTTACCTTGGCTTTTGGGATTAAGTTTCATAGGGTTTGGATTAGGGTATGAGGGTAATTGAGCCTCACCTCTTCTTGGGCTTTAAACTCACCCTAGGGAACAGAGAGCTTATTGTCCTACTCCCTTCCTACATGACAACGATTTACCATGGTTTTCCTCCTGTCTTTCCTTTTCCCCATTTCTTGGCAGAATTCTCTCAGCACCCCCAAATTTGGGTCTCTCCACTTTTGGAGGTTGGGACGGCAGAGACTGCGAGCTGTGAGATGGCTAGGGTGTTCCCAGCTAAAGAGGTGGTGTTCCAGATGTTCTTGGGAGACCAGGCACTGAGCCCCTTCCTCTCCTGGGAGGGAGACACCGCCTGGGCCAATGCCACTGTTCGGGCCATGGAGACCGGTGACCAGGAGCTGTCCTGCCTTGCATCTCTGGGTCCAATGGAACAGACAACAAGAGAGCCGGTGCACGTCTATAGTAAGTTACCGGCCTCTTCTCCCTAGGAGGGTCCTCTGCCCCTGGAAACTTCCATAGGAAAGCCTCGGCGATTTTCTGATCAGTGCACACAGGTTGGAAACGTGCATGAGACAGTAGCCTTCTCTAGCCTTCACCCTGCTTCCTGAGGCCAGCCTACTCACAGAGCAATTTTGAATGCTTAAACTAGTTTCTAGCAGTAATCACTGCAGGTGAGGAGGAAATCTATAAGATGAAAGACATTTAGCTATCCTTGCCGAGGGACAGACGCGTGGGCACACCGCGTTTGTGGTAGGAAAAGCTCTCAGATTCCCAAAGCACCTCCTGTTCCCGCCTTGCGGCGCAGAGCAGTAATGGTCTTTCCCCTGTTGTCTGCCTACCCCAGGGATGCCAGCAGCAGCAAGAGTGCCAAAGGGGCTGCCAGTTTTGAGAAAGAAGTTTGGTTGTCATTTTCCTTTCCTTATAGGCTTCCCTCCACCAGTCCTGGAGATAGAAGAGCCATACCCATTGGCAGGGACAGACACTAATGTGACCTGTGCGGGGCATGTGTTAACATCACCCACTCCTACTCTTCGGCTTCAGGGAGCCCCAGACAACCCTGCCCCTGGGGAGCCTGCCTGGCTTTTACTTACCACCAGGGAGGAAGATGATGGCCGAAATTTCTCCTGTGAGGCCTCTTTGGAGGTTCAGGGTCAGCAGTTGATCAAAACCACCACAGTCCAGCTCCATGTCTTATGTGAGTACCAGCCTGATCTTTCTTTTCAATACAAGGAGAATTACTGTCCCATTTCCAGAGATCATGGCCAGCAGCTTCATCATTAGAGTTGCCACTTTTTTTTTCCTCATTCAAATAAAAAAAATCAAAATCAAAAATTAAATTAAAGCTCTCTCCGCTTCCCTTACCCCCAGCAAAGTGAGTGGGGAGAGACATGGGGGGAACTGGGAACAGAAGAAAGTACGCAAATAGAGTGACCAGTGGCCTTAGTTTCGAGCCGATGGCTGAGAACACAGGAAGTAAAGGTTGGAGTTGATGCTGAGAAAGGAAATTTCCACATAAATATTTGTATTTTGAAAAATAGAAAATGCTAATCTCTGGTTCCCCACTACCCAGTTCTCACCGAGAAGCAGGGGCGCCAGGGCCAGCATTGACGCAGCAGTCAGACCCCTCAGTCACAGTCTGGGAGGGTGCGCGGTGCTGCACCTCGGGCGCCTTGCCCGTAGGACCGGAGGAAAGAGGAGTGGCTCAAAGCAGGGAGCAGATGGTCTCTCCTTGGGTGGAGGGGACACAGCATTTGGGCCAGAGGAGGGAAGGTGCGCACTGAGCTCTGTGCCTTTGGGGACTCTCTTCCAGACAAGCCAAGGTTAGAGGAATCTAGTTGCCCTGGCAACCAGACATGGATGGAAGGGATGGAACAGATGCTTGTCTGTGTCCCAGAGGGAAATCCAACTCCATCGTTGGTGTGTACCTGGAAGGGAATGATGTTTGACCTTGAAGTACCACAGAAGGCAACCCAGAACCACACTGGAACCTACTGCTGCACGGCCACTAACCAGCTGGGCTCTGTCAGCAAAGACATTGCTCTCATTGTTCAAGGTGACTGTGGCACCCAGGATGGAACCCCCTAGGGGACCGGGATTCTTATCCAAACATGGAAAGAAGAAAGATTTCAGTGGGTTGGGGAGGATGAGACCAAGAAGTGGGCTTGGTGGGCTGGGGCAGGGTGATTCTCTTGCCCTGGAACCCTCCCAATTCTCTGTCTTCTGTGTTTGGGCAGGACTGGATGTAGGATTCGGCTCCACCATCTTCATCATCATCATTGTCGCCCTTGGAGTGGGTGTAATCACCATAGCACTGTATTTGAACTATCAGCCCTGCAAGAGAGAGAGGAGGAAGTTGCCCTATAGGCAGAAAGAGAAGAACAAGGATGAAGAAAGTCAGTTTGCTGTTCAACAAGCAGAAACATGTACCACACATAACTGTTAATTAGAAACAGTTATGTGGTTGAAGGTGACCACTACTACTGGGTTTTCTAAGGGAGGAAAGGGGGTGGAAGAGAAAGGAAGAGACATCTTCTGGGTTAGGCAATCCCATAAAATGTGCTGTTGGCCCCAGGTCCCTTGTATCCACCCCATCCCCACGCTGCCCTCCTCCAGGTTCACTGTAGTCCCGGAATTTCAGTCTCTCAGCTAGAGGGAGGGCCTCTTGCTCCTTGCTGTATGCTAACCAGTCGACTCAGATTAAAAAAAGAAAATCCTGTCTGTGCCTTCTCATTCCATGACCACTGCCCTTTGCTCAAAAATATCAAACTGAACAGAGAGAGGAATGTCTCAGAAATGCAACTCATTTCTCATGGTTTTCTTATAACTAAGTGGAAACCAATTTCTTAGTCCAGGGACAGAACTTCGAAGAGAGTGAGCACTGAACAAAGGGATAGGAATCAGAGCCCCATTCCCATCCACACATCCCTGCTCCTGAGCCTGGGGTTCTGGGATGCTGGCTCCCACACCTGAGCTTGATGACATCATTAAGGTCAATGGCTGGTTAGACTTCAAATCACTAACCATCTCTTATATGCTTTGGAGGACAATAAAAATCTTAAGAAATTCCATGTGGGGTTTTACCCAGCCCAGTGTTCTGTCCCTGCTGTGGAAGTTAGATTCTTCCATGAAATTGGCCTCATAGGTTAAGGGCTCCAAACATCCTGAATCCCTTTTCAGAATCCATTAGTGAGTGATCATCTGTGAGTTCATCTTTGACATTATTATTGTGTGTTTTTTTAACCTATTCAGGCTCAGGGTAGAGTTCCAATGTTTATTCCCCTTTTCCATAAATAAATATATATGTTCATGTGTCTGCAAACTACTTAAGCATTAGGAGGGCTCCTCCTGAGACAATGTTCACTATATGATTTTATGATTCAGCTTCCTTCTCTGTTCTTTGGAAAGAGAAGACATCAGGAGTCATAAAACCAGATCTTTTCTCCCAAATCAGTCACATGTAGGTCACTGACATGTTGGATATGTTAAAAATAAAAGTGATTTTACAATATCTAAAATTATTTCTCTTCTTTGTCATTGTTGAACGCTTTTATTAAGCCACATGGTTGCACTTTACAGTTTTTAAGAAAGAATGGCAATTGCTAGCATAAACAACCAACCCAGGGCAGGTGGTACATTAGGTCAGGGCAGCAGCCTGTCCTGCCCTCAAAACTGAAGTTCAGGCTTCCAGATAGAAAATGGTCCGTAGCCTTCCAAATAGCAGGAACACAGCAAGGTCATTCTTCCTAGACCTGCCCTGAGTCTGGGCTATGGATTAGCCCTTTGGTTCCAACCCATGCCGAGCACTGGGGATACACTGGTGAACAAAACCCTGCCTCTGTCTTCTATACGCCCACAGTCTCGGGAAGCTAGAGCAAGTCAACGGGAAATTACAATTCCTGGGAGGAGAAGGAAATGCCTTGTTTGTTTTTGCAAAACAGCACGCCCCCAAAATGACCTGTTCAGCCTCAAGTTTCCACTAAATATAATAGCCCCTGCTCTCTTATAATACGAGTAATGTGAATTATTCACTTTTCTGAATTGAGCACTTGGGGAAATAAGTTAGGAGCAGGTTTAGGAGAAAAGAGTCTAGAGCAGTCTACTCCAGGGATCTCTAGCGACTTCAGTGTTGGGATCAGCTGCCTCAGGTCTGGAGTTATTTCAGTCTGCAAACCTCACTTAGTGACCCCAGTGCCCTGAGGCACAGTGAACCCTAAACAGGACGGAGGAAGGTGGTCATCTGGACTTCTGGTTCCACCATGGAGAGCCTGGAATTTAGGCTGCCCTGCCTTGGCTTCTCACAGCCGCATAGTGTCACTGTTGACAGTGTCCTACACAGTTCATTAAACCGCGCGGTTCTGCAGATCCAGGTTCCAGGTCACTGCCATGGATCTTTCAGGAGCTTGATCCGCTTACTCAGGGCTTGGTCCAGCTACGGGTGACTCTTTGCATGGGTTTCCAGAGTTACAGTTCTCAGAGCTCAGTGCTTTAGGTCAGCTGTCCAGCAAGGCTCTTCAGATTTGGGGAGCTCCCCCACCCCCAGACTTGGAACTTCTGTTCCCCTTCCCTCCCCAGAGATCCATACAACCAAGGATCAGGTAGCCCCTTGTAGTCAATTCTTAAAACACAAAGGGTTCCATTACATCTCTCTTCTAAATGAATAGAGCTGGTCTCTGCCCATTCTTCTAAGGCTAGCTGTTTCCACTCCAGGGGATCCCACCCCTAAAACATTTGGATTATACTTTTTTCCCCCTTTGAACAATAGAACCACCAGCTCACATATAACTGTAGCTACCCTGATTATCTTCAGGGGAAGAGAGCTACCTTTAATACTCCAAAAGTTTATCCTCTTAAGAAAGTCAAGGTAACTTTCTGGTGTCTTTCTTTTTCTTTTTAATTTTAAAATTGATTTGAGAGAGAGAGAGAGGGAGGGAGGGGGAGAGCGGGGCAGAGCGACATTGATTTGTTGTTCCACTACCTAGGCATTCATCAGCTGGTTCTTGTAGGTGCCCTGACCAGGGATCAAACCCACAACCTTGGCGTATCTGGATGATGCTCTAATCAACTGAGCTACCCAGACAGGGCCTCTAGTGTCTTTCATTTTAGACCTGAGAAAGAAAAAAAGTAAAATTTTCGATGGGGCTCTTACTGTAGGGATAATAAAAGTATTTACCTATTACAGGATTGTAGTTGGAAAGAAATGATAGAGAACTCTTCCTCATTTTCCGTTCCTCTTCCTCTACTTTTCCCTTTTTTGTCCCCTAAGATTTTGGACTGCTAGTAGAATGACCAGTTGCTCCAGTTGGCATTGATTAAGGGTTCTGGACATGGGGCTTTGAGCGTTCACCTGGGGAAAGTCTCATGAAAACAGGGATGAGTTGTTGACTCTAATACTGGTATCATATCCCTTCCAGTCTTCTTCAGCCTTGTGGGGGGGGGGGTGTCTGAATATAAAAAGCTGCAAGGCAAAGCATCATGTTTGCTTGACCCAGAAGCCCAGGTCTTGTAATTCTGAGGAGGACGTGTGAGGAAGGGAAAGGGTCAGTTCTGTCCTCAAATGTGTATAAAGGGACAAAACTCACTGTACATGTTTCAGCGGTGCTGATGGGAGAAATTCAGAAGCGGTCATTTTAGGATAGAGTCGATTTAAAAGATTACATGGAGTCGGGGAAACATCATTCCAGGGCTCTAGGATTATTTGAACTCTGCCCTACTGCATTTTCTTGTGCAAATCTCGCTATTCTTACCCTTGGGAAGATTTTTCATTAGGAAATATGTTTTAAAATTTTTTAATTGATTAAATAGACATAATGTAAAAGTTACCATTTTACATGTCCTAAGTGGATAGTTCAATAATGGAAAGTGCATTCACATTCCTGTGCAACCCATCTCCAGAACCCTTTTCATTTTGTAAAACCAAAACTCCGAGGCCCATAAACTCCCTGTTCTCCCTGCCCCAGCCTCTGGAAACTGCCATTCCACATTCTGTCTCTGAGTCCGACTACTCTAAGTACCTCTTATGAGAGAAATCATATGGTACTTACTGTTTTGTTACTGGCTTATTAGAAAACTTTGGAATGACTGCTTAGAATTAGGAACGGGGAGCCACACTGGCCCAGGTCTCACATCTCCTTTCGCCCCTTCTTACCAATATAATAGCTGTGACACGTGTATCTCATCTTTGTGGACCCAAAGTCAGTGGTTCTCAAGCTAGTTTGCCCTTTAGACTCACCCAGGGAACGTTTAAAAACACTGTTGCCTCCAGCCCTGGCGCTCAGTTGGTGAGAACGTCGTCTTGATAGGCCAAGTTGTGTGCTCAATCCCGTCAGGACACAAGGATCAGCCAATGAATGCATAAGTCAGTGGAACAACAAATCTCGCTCTCGCTCTCCCTCGCTCTCTCAAATCGACAATAAATTAAACAACTACAACAAACTCTTGCCTGGATCCCGCACCAGACCAATTAAATCAGAATCTCTGAGAGTGGAGGCTACTGCCCGAGTTGTTTAGAAAACACCCCAGACGTTTCTAATTTGCAGTGGCGGTTGCCATTCACTGCCAAATTGAAGAGCTGAAAGGCAGAATAACACTTTTTTAATTAAAGAATTTAGGGTACTTTAAGGTCTTTTAAATTCCAAAATTTTGCAAAATCAACTAGCGTCTTTGAAATTCTCAATCAGCAGGGGTGAAGTTGATTTCATGATACCCAGAAGGAACTGAGTGGATACTCTCTGGAGTGTGGCTCCCCCTGCAGTCGACTGCTGTCATGACACTCTAGAATCCCCTCTGGCAGCTGTAACACCCCTCTGGGAATCCCTCTCCTGCCACATTCATTCATCAAATAGTTCTTAAGATGGTTCACATTTCCTTTTAAAACACTTATTCAAGCCAAGACATAATTATACATTTGTGCTAACTACATAAACGTCTACAGACCGTGAGATTTCCAAGTAATTCTAAGGCCAAATGAAGGAGATTGCAAAGATATTGATTTCAGCTTAATGTAAAAAATACTTCTCTGAAACCAAAGCAATTTAGTAGAGTGAATTGTCCTGTGAAATAATGATTCCCTTGGTGTGAGTGCCACCCGAGTGAATACCATCTGTAAGGGATGCTATAGAGTAAGATTCCTAAATTAGAAGGAATTAGGATGACCTATGAGGCCCTTCTTACTCCAAAGCACCATGGTTTTCAAGTCAGAAAATAGAAGAATGATCTAAGCAGATGAATGGTTTCTGAGGTAAGAAATGGAGCTCTGGGGTTCTGATTATTCCGACTTTCAACCACTCCCCAAAGACTTGTGTTACTAGATGTAAAATATTGAAAATGAATACCGATGAATCCTGTTTTAAAGAAAACACATTATAGCACATAAAAATCCGAGCTTTCCAGGAAGATTAATTAGGAGGGTGATTAGTTGCATTGTAAAAGAATTACTGATTTTGCAAAATCATATTTGGATAATAGAATTACTTCAAACATGGTCACTAGTTACTTAGCCAGGTGCTTGGGTGCCCTTTTATGTTCATCTGCAAATTTAAAAACAGAAACATTTGGAAAACAGAATATGATTTAATAACAAGTATTTAAACATGAAATACCCCAACATTTGTTGCAAAAACAGCTACAATTTCTTGAAAGCTGTAATGTGTCAGAAACATCCATCAGCTGCCTCCTGCACCCCTCCCCCACTTCAGATATAGAATTTAATTTAATCCTGACATAAGACTGGTATGGCAATGTATTATCTCCATCCTATAGGTGAGGAAACTTGGTCTCAAGGAGGTTAAATAACCTATTCATGAAAAATCCAAGTTCAGATTCTTTCCCTTATACCGAGTTATCCAAATCTCCTGCTCTTAGAACAAATTGCTCACCTACTGCTTGAAGACCCATGTATACAGGTTAATTTTTTCCCTTAAAATGTTTTCTATACGAACTCATTGCCAATGTTTAAAAATTAGATTTCACATTAAGGTCTGGATGTCCCGTCTGTCTCGAAGAACCGGGAGGTCTGGCGGCCTGACTCTGAAGTCCTGAACTACAGGGTTGGATGTGCCCCACCTGAGCCGGGGCCTGAGTTCTCTAGGTTGCTCCAGTCCCCAGCCCTCCTTGTTGTATCCCACCCAAGGAGACTGAGTGTCCATTGTGATTTATCTCTTCATAGCCCGTCCTCATTACTTATGTAATTATCTACCTGTCGACACTGAATTCACAACCCCCAATTTAGAATCTCTCTTCCACTTTTCTTGCCCCAATTCAGATCCCAAACATTCTAATTCTGTTTGTCCCAAAGCCATTTTTGCCTTGTTCCCATTTCCCAAGGGTAGTGGGGCCTAATGTGGATTCCCTTAAAATTTCTGCACAAAAGTGATTCTGTGATTTCTCTCATTGTTCTCTCACCTGTTGGGGTGTTTTGCTTCTGTAGTTAATAGTTGTCTTGCTTTCATTCCCTCCCACTCTTAGGGGCTCGGTTTGGGGTTGTGGTGCAGGGGGGTGTGGCAAGAAATGCCTCCGAGTACTTTGCAGGGATGGTCCTGACCTATGACTGCCCAGTGAGCTGGGACCAGGCACCTGGGAGGGGATTGGTGTAGAACAGAGAGCAGTGACTGTGTCAGCTGCTTTCTAACCCAGCAAGAACCAGGTGGGTTATCATTCAGTGGCTTGGTTCTTGTTCTTTTTTAAAAAATAGGTTTTCACTGATTTCAGAGACAGGAAGGGAGAAATATCAATGAGAGAGAAACATCGATCAGCTGCCTCCTGCACTCCTACCCCACTACTGGGGATCGAGCCCGAAACCTGGGCATGTGCCCCGACTAGGAATTGAACCGGCAACCTCCTGGTACATGGGACGGTGCTCAACCACTGAGCCACACTGACCAGGCATGACCCGGTTCTTAATAGACCCCACAGGATTCCTGCAGGTTGTCCTCCCAACGCATTCCATATCCCCTCCATAATAGAAGGACACCTACTCAGACATTATGATGCAACGTTATTTTATTGGGAAAGGATGGTGGGCACTGGAGTGTCCCTTTCCAGGGTTAGGGGAGGCACTGGGGAGGGTCACAGAGATGCCCAGCAGCTAGAAGGCACAGCTGCTTTCCATGAAGCGGCGACACTTTGTGAACCGCAGGTATGTCTCAACCTTGTGCAAGTCCTTCCTGAAGCAGGAGAGCAGCCCGTAGTTCTTGAGGACTGTATCGTCACTACGCAGGTTTGTGTCGAACCTGTCATAGGTTTGCCTGAGGATCAGCCCAGCCCGGGGGCTGCCATCTTCCAGGTCCTGCAAAAGGGAAGGAGAGACAGCTGCTCAGTCCTTGCCAACTGCTCCCCACTTTCTCCTCCACATCCCTCCTCTCCCCTGGGACTTAGAGGAAGGTGTGGAAGGTTCAAAAGGGGAAATAAGGGGTACGACTTCTCCTGGGTTGAGGCTGGGCTGCTACAAAGAGAGCGGCAGTATCTCTCTTCTCCAGCCCATGTGAGTCTCTAAGCCAGGTGGGCCTCCAGGCCCAGGGGAGGGTGGGCATGACCCCAGGGTTGGGGACCGACAGCACCATCCCCACCCGCATCAGGGCTTGGATGCCTTCTTCCAGATCCTTCAGCTTCTCATAGATGCCGTTGGAGATGCCTAACAGCAGGCCGCTGGTGAAGGCCCTGCTGAGGAACTGCATGGGCCCCAGCCAGGACTGGATGAGCAGCAGCGAGAAGCGGAGCAGCTCCATGTCCTGCAGGGAGAGGATGGGTATTGGGCACCAGGCGGCCCTGCTAAGGGCCAGCCTCTGCAGGCCTTCCCCAGCCATCCCACCACCCACTGCCACCCTCCGCCACCTTGGGAAGAAGGCAGCCCAGGGCCTGGGTGTGGGCGGGGCTGCCCAGGCTCCTGTGGAGAGGAGAGGTGACCTTCTTAGAAAGAGGGAAGCCACTGTTCCTAAGCTGGGTCGCAGAGGCCACTCACGGATTTCTGCCGGGCCTCCTCCTTGCCCGTAGGGGCTGGGATGGTCTCTGAGAAGCAGAAAGCAGCCTGGGCATTCTGGATTGAATATCTCTGTCCCTCCGGGATGTATGTGCGCTCCTGGGAGAAGGAACGTTAGCTCGGGTGTAAGCCGGTGCACGGTTCTCATCACTGCTTTATTTGGAACCCTGCTCACCTGACAGCATCTTCACTTGGATAAAATCACCCTGAACTCATCAGTTTTCTCCCCTTATGTCGAATGGTGAGAGGGGGGAGTGGGGAACTCAGCCCTTCCTGCCACCCGCCTGCTACCAGCTTGCTGGGTTGCTTACAAACTCTTTGTAGGTGTCAGCAGCCAGTTGGTGCAGGTGCTGGGCCCGGAGCACAGCGTTGGCAAATAGGCTGGACAAGGACATGGTGGGGAAGGCGCCCGCCTCCTGGGGCCAGGGCAGGCAGAGCAGGACAAAAGCCAGGAGCACGGAGGTCCGAGGGCCTAGACAAAGAGATGGAGGCTGAGAAACGGGGCACCAGACAGCAAGAAGCCTAAGTCTCCAGCCAGCCCTCTCCCTGTCCCGGGGGCCTTTCTTTCTCCTCCACTGTCAGGGACTGAGAACATTGTAAACTTGGTCAAATGTCTGCACATGGATGTCTCATGCTAGCATTCAGAAGCCCCAAAGCCTAGCGTTAGTGCCCCCATCCATCCGTAGGGCCCCAGTATTCCCCCTCAGTATGCAGCAAGCCCAGGGGGTTGTCAGGGTGCCTACCTGCAGCCATTGCAGCTGGGTGAGCTGTCCACAGGTCCCTGAGAAGTTAGGGGAGCTGAGTCCTAGGATCCTGGAATTGGTCCCTTGCCAACCCTTTTTATACCCTAGCCCCATCTCTCCCCCTTCTTTCCCTACCTGTTTTCTCTATGCATTTATGTATAGACCCACTGACGGGCCTCTGCTGATGGATAATTTAGAACCTCCTCCCACTCATCCTGTTCCTGCTCCTCTCCAGAGGTCATGTCCCCCAGGCTTGTTCCCGTTTCACTGTCACCAGTCAGGTGAGGGTTGCAAACACAGGGTCGCAACTAGAGAGGCTACCAAATCTGTCCTCTTTATTTTTATTGATTTATTTTATCTTATCTTATTTTATTTTATTTTTAGAGAGAGAGAGGAAGGAAGAGGGAGAAAGGGAGATAGAAACATTGATGTGAGAGAGAAACATTGATCAGCTGCCTCCTGCATACCCACTACTGGGGATCAAGCACGCAACCCAGGCATGTACCCTGACTGGGACTCAAACCAGGACCTCTAAGTCCATGGGGCAACACTCAATCCACTATGCACACCAGCCAGACTAGTGTGGACGTTTTAATGTTGTTAATGCCTCATATCCATGGACATGGTATATGCTTCCACTTGTTCATATCTTCCTCAATTTTTTCAATGTCCTGTAGTTTTCTGATAATAGGTCTTTTACGTCCTTAGTTAAGTTTATTCCTAGGTATCTTAATTTTTGTTGTTGCAATAGTAAGTGAGATCTTTTTTTGGTTTCTCTTTCTGAGAGTTCATTATCTGTGTATAAAAATGCCATCTATTTCTGGATATTAATTTTGTATCCTGCTACCTTGCCAAATTCATTTATTAAATCTAGTAGTTTTTGGACTTCCGGTCAAGATGGCGGGTAGGTAAACGTGGTATCACGTCCTCCCACAACCACATCAAAGTTACAACTAAACTACAGAACAACCATCATTCAAAACCGCCTGAAATCAAGCTGAATGGAAGTCCTACAACTACGGAATTAAAGCAGCAGCCACAGCCAGACTGATAGGAGGGGCGGAGGCGGAGGGGCTGGTCCCACACTCACATGTGGCGGATAAAAATCAGGAGGACACCTCGGCTGGGAAGGTCCTCCCTGAGGACTGAGGGATCCCCGTCCCACACCAGGTGCCCCGCTCAGGATTCCAGTGCCAGGAAGAGAATCCCCATAACTTCTGGCTGGAAAAACCAGCAGGAACTGAGGCTCAGGGAAGCTGACGCGGCCGGAGCCCCAGGCAGCTCCTTAAAGGGCCCGCGCACGGACTTATCGGACTCTCTCCCTCTAAGTTTGGAGGGGAGGCAGCTCAAGGGGCGCCAGAGACATGCAGGGAAGAACTGAGCTGTTTGGCACTGGAGCAAGGGCTGGAGAGGGGGCTTTCTCCTGGACAAACGTGCTGTCAGAGGCCTTTGTTCCTTTGGTGAGCCCTTCCCTGGGGCGGCAGACAGAAGCCATATCTGGGACTCCAGCAACCTGACTCACACTGGTAGCCCCACCCTGGTGACACCCTGAGGCCCCGCCCCACCCAACTTTCAGGCCCACCCAAGCTGTTGCCAGTTGCTTAACCATAGGATTGGCCTGTCTTGGATCCTGCTTCAGGTTTTCCTAAAGTCTTTCAAACAAGCAGTATCTGATCTCAGCTAGCCCCATATGTCTCGTTAAGTAATACAAGAAACAAACACAGAGAGGCAGCCAAAATGAGGAGACAAAGAAACATGTCCCAAATGAATGAACAGAACAAAACCCCAGGAAAAGAACTAAGCGAAATGGAGATAAGCAACCTAACAGATGCTGAATTCAAAATACTGCTTATAAGGATGCTCAATGAACTTAGTGAGAACCTCAGCAAACTTAGTGAGGGCCTCAAGAGCATAAAAAAGGACCAGTCAGAAATGAAGGAGGCACTAACTAAAATAAAGAATAATTTACACAGATTCAATAGAGTAGGTAAAGCCAAGAAGCAAACCATTGATTTGGAATATAAGGAAGCAAAAAATGCCCAATCAGAACAGCAAAAAGAAAGAATCCAAAAAAATAAGGATAGTGTAAGGAGCCTCTGGGATAACTTCAAGCGTGCCAACATTTGCATCTTGGGGGTGCCAGAAAGAGAAGAGAGAGAACAAGAAATCGAAAACCTATTTGAAACAATAATGGCAGAAAACTTCCCTAACTTGGTGAAGGAAACAGACATACTAGTCCAGGAAGCGAGTCCCAAACATGATGCACCTCAAGAGGCCCACACCAAGACACATCATTATCAAAATCCAAAGGTTCAAGACAAAGAGAGAATCTTAAAAGCAGCAAGAGAAAAACAGTTAATTACCTACAAGGGAGTTCCCATAAGACTGTCAGCTGATTTCTCAAAAGAAACTTTGCAGGCCAGAAGAGAGTGGCAAGAAATATTCAGAATGATGAAAAGCAAGAACCTACATCCAAGGTTACTCTATCCTGCAAAGCTGTCATTTAGAATCGATGGCCATATAAAGAGTTTCCCAGCCAAGAAAAAGTTAAAGGAGTTCATCACCACCAAACCGTTATTATATGAAATGATGAAGGGTCTTTTTCAAGAAAAAGATAAAATATATGAACAAACAAAACGGCAATGAATACATATCTATTGACAATGGAATCTACAAACAAAATGAACAGGCAGAACAGAAACATTCTCATAGATACAGAGAACATTTTGTTGGTTGCCAGATGGGAGGGGGGTTGGTGGAATGGGTGAAAAAGGTGAAGGAATTAAGAAGTACAAATTGGTTGCTAGACTGACAAATCTCAAAGGGAAGGGGGTTGGGGGGAGTGGGAATAAATAAACCAAAGAACTTATATGCATAACCAATGGACACAGACCACAGTGTGGGAAAAGGCAGGAGGGGGGCAGGAGTGGGAAGCAGGGGGTCAATGGCGGAAAAATGAGGAACATCTGTAATACATTGAACAATAAAGATAAAAAAAAATCTAGTAGTTTTTGGGTGGGGTCATTAGGGTTTTCTATGTACAATATCATGTTCATCTGTGAATAATGTGTTTCATTCTTCCTTTCCATTTTGGATACCTTTTATTTTTTCTTTTTGTCAATCGCTATGGCTAAGATTCCCAGTACTATGTTGAATAAGAGTGATAAAAGCAGATGTCTTTGTCTTGTTCCTTTTCTTAAGGGAAATGCTTTTAGTTTTTTCCCATTGAGTATGATGTTGCCTGCAAGTTTGTCATATATGACCTTTCTTATGTTGAGGTATGATCTCTCTATTCCCACTTTGCTGAGAGTTTTTATCGAAAATGGGTGCTGGGCCCAGCCAGTGTGGCTCAGTTGGTTGGGTGTTGTCCCATGCATCAGAAAATAGCTATTTCAATTCCCAGTCAGGGTACATGCCTGGGCTGCAGGCTCAATCCCCAGTAGGAGGCATGCAGGAGGCAGCTGATCAATGTTTCTCTCTCATTAATGTTTTTATCTCTCTCTCTCCCTCTCCCTTCCTCTCTCTGAAATCAATAAAAACATTTTTAAAAAATGGGTGCTGGAATTTGTCAAATGCTTTTTCTGCATCTATTGATATGATCATATGATTTTTATCTTTTGTTTATATGGTGTGTCACATTTATTGATTTACAAATATTGTACCAGCCTTGCATCCCTGGGATAAACCCCACTTGGTCACGGTGAATAATCTTTTTTTTAAAAAAAAATCCTTACCCAAGGATATTTTTCCATTTATTTTCAGATAGAGTGGGAGGGAGAGAGAGAGAGAGAGAGAGAGAGAGAGAGAGAGAGAGAGAGGTGAGAGAGACACATCAATTGGTTGCCTCCCACACGACCCCAACCAGGGCCAGGGATCAAACTGCAGCAGAAGTACAAGCCCTTGACTCAAATCAAACCCGTGACTCTTTGGTTCACAGGCCAACGCTCTAACTGCTGAGCCAAACTGGCCAGGGCTGAAATATTTTTTTAATTACAGGATCCGATTTGCTAATATTTGGTTGTGGATTTTGGCATCTATGTTCATCAGAGATATTGGTCTGTAATTTTCTTTCTTTGTAGTGTCATTATCTGGTTTTGGAATTAGGATAATGCTGGCCTCATAAATAGAGCTTGACAGTCTTCCTTCCTCTTGAATGGTTTTGAAAAGCTTGAGGAGGATAGGTGTTAGTTTCTCTTTGACTGTTTGGTAAAACTCCCCTGTGAAGCCATCTGTACCAGGGCTTTTGTTTACTGGGAATTTATTGGTTACTGTTTCAATTTCATTAGTTGTTATTGGTCTGTTCAAGTTTTCTGAATCTTCCTGGTTAATTTTTGAAAGATTATATGTTTCTAGGAAATTGTCCATTTTGCCTAGGTTGTCCAATTTGCTGGCATATAGTATTTTCTTACAATCCTTTGTATTTCTGGTGTCAGTTGTTACTTCACCTCTTGTTTCTGATTTTGTTTATTTGAGTCTTCTCTCTTTTTTTCTTAATGAGTCTGGCTAAAGGTTCCTTAGTCTTGTTTATCTTTTCAAAGAACCAGCTCTTGGTTTCATTGATCTTTTTTTTTTTTAAGTCTGTGTATCATTTATTTCCCCTCTGATCTTTATTATTTCCTTCCTTCTACTTACTCTGGGCTTTCCTTGTTGTTCTCTTTCTAAGTCTTTAAGTTGTAGGGTTAGATAGTTTATTAGAATTTTTTCTTTTTGAGGTAGGCCTGTAGTGCTATCAACTTCCCTCTCAAGACTGCTTTTGCTGTGTCCCATAGATTTTGGGTTGTTTTGTGTTCATTTTTATTTGTTTCCAAGAAGTTTTTGATTTCTTCCTTGAACTCATTGGTAACCCATTCATTGTTTAAAAACATGTTATTTAGCCTCTATGTGTTTGAATGTTTTTGAGTGTTTTTATTGTAGTTGACTTCTAATTTCATGCCACTGTGATCCAAGAAGATGCTTGATATGATTTCAATCTTCTTGAAATTATAGAGACTTAGTTTGTGTACTGACATG